TGCTTTTCTTATCTAAGTGCAAGGACACATTAGATGTACTTCATGAACTTTTGGATGTTTAAGTAAAGGATTTAATAATATTTTCTGACCTTTTCTACCAACCTTCTCGTCCGCTTTAATGGCCACTATACAGGTGGATCTTAGCGAACGAGACAGTCTCAAAATACTGATTGTGGCCTTTCTCGTAGATGACAAAGATGTACTTGCGGTCCTCTGCAGAACCGCTGTCCAGTGAAGTGATGCAAGAGTAGCCGCTCGGTCCCGCCCATATCTGCATGGCTTCCTTCTCCCAAGATTTGCCGTTTGTCAGCGACCATTTCAAGGTTAGGTTCACTCCTGAGGAAGATTATGAGGTTATTTACTCGATCACCCAACTTTATAACATAAATCTTAAAGAGAGTTTTCAGTTCAATTTAAAAAAGCATTAAGGGAATCCTCGATCATCGTATATCAATCTCTCCACTTAGAGAGCATAAATCATCGTGAATCTATTTCGGCTGCTTTGGTGCAAATTAAAGCGACAACATGAGAGGCAACGAGGAGACAAACTACCAAAAAAGGGAGTACTTTTGCAAAGACCATTGCTCTCGCCTTATCCATCCTTTCTGATTTTTCTGTAGTGTTGCTCTGTGTTAGTGTCCTTCTCACTATTGGTACTCAGGTTGCACAGATAGTTCAGCGACACATCCATATGTGCCACAAGAAGGTTTGCTGTGCCCCCCAGTACAGTCTCAAGAGTGTGGAGGAGATACCAGGAGACAGGGGAGGTTACATGAGGAGCTAGGCAGGGACGTGGAAGGGCATCACCCCAGCAGCAGAACCAGTCTCTGCTCCTTTGTGCAACTGCCAGAGCACTACAAAATGAGTCTACTGACATTCTTCAACATTGTGCTCCATTAGTGTTCTTCACTGGAAGAGGACTTATCCTCATTATCTGCTCCATATTTTGATTATTAAACTCTGGAAGAGATTTACTCATCAAAACAACCGTTCTTTATTTTATTTGGGCCTTTGTGCAGCCCTTCAGTTCATCTACTATTAGAAACAAGACATTTTACCTCCCTTTCTGTCCTTTGAGCTAACTTGAGCTAACTGCTCTCTTTGACATCATACAGAGACAAGAGTATAAAAAACTGTGTGAAAGCTGAACATTTCGTATGAGGAGAGATCAGTGTAACTATATCTTTACTTAAAATAAACAAAAGTACTGCGTACAAAACCAGAAACTGTGCTTCTACAGAATTAAAGTGCTTTGTTTACTAGAGTTTAGCGCTTCTCACTCTTTTCCTCGTTGCAGGGGTTGGTGAAGTAGATCACGCCCTCTTTTTGCAGAGTTCCAGCTGCCACTACAGGATCCACCAGTGCCTCGTCAAAGATCAAGCCCTCCAAAGGCAGGGTCAACCCTCCATCATAGCTGTGCACCACAATGCGACACTGACAGTGGTATCTGTTCTGGTTCCGCACGTTGATGGCGATGGTGCCGTCAGTCAACTCAATCGGCTGGAGAAGAAGAGACGGGAGAGAAAAGACTAAAACTGAAACGAGTAAAAAGAAGCTGTTAATGCTTGTGTGTGTCACTGCACAGACCTAGCTTTAGCGATATCACATTTTATGAACTTCTCTTTTACTATGATGCCAGTTCATAGAATCTACAGAAGGAACTGAAACTGGCAAAGCAGGTAACTACGTGGAAGTTTGATCCAGTTTTATAGGAATGTGAAAATACTGCTTTGGTAAATGTGATATCTCTTAAAGTCACACTGAAATCAATTTAAAACTTTTTTTATTCTTTATATGTTATTTTACATCATCATAGTGTTTACTTGTTTGTGCTGCGTGGTAGCTGTGTGTCTGTTGGATC